GTCGGGTTTATTTTCTCTTTATCCACCCACGAACAGATCGATACCTGCTATTAATTAGAGGAATGCTTAAGGCGGGTAGAATAGACGATTGCTAAAGATTTTTCCTCTCTTAAAACCATCTTTACATTGGGACCCGATTATGAAAATATCTCTTTTCTTTTTTTATAATGCTTCTTTATAAATGTCTGTAGTTCAGAGATGAAGCATTGTTGTATTATCATTTGTATTTTGATAAAGACGTTTTGTTCCTTGCGTTTTGTAGATTTAATGCTGTTGTTTGACTGAAGCTACGGAGAGAAATGCATATTTCTTCTGTAATATGAAGACTTCAAAATAAAGCGAATAGAAAGCACTAACCATCAATTGCAAACAGACAGACTCTATGGTTGTCAGCAAAAGAAACAGCCCAAGATGCCTACTACGAAATGAAGACATCAAAATCAACTAATTACAAAAATTTAAATATCTAGGAGGTGTTTTAACAGAGGACGGAAAGTGTGATCCGAAATCCGAAGTTGCGTGGCCTTTCAAAAGTTAAACAAAGTATGAAGAAGCGAACAAATTTCGTTAGAAACGGAAAAAAAAGAAAGATCAGTGGTATAATATGTAATAATGGTCCTTCTAAATGGCAGTGAATGTTGGACAATCTCTTCACAAATGTAGAACAGACTTCATGCAACATAAGGTGGTTCTACAGAAGGATGCTGGGAATACCATAGACTGAACAATAGAGTGATGACGAAATTTTAGAGAAAATAGAAACTAAAAAAACGCTTATACCGAAAGAGAAAGTTGAAAATTTTGGGGCACAAAATGAAAGAAGGATTCGAAAATTTAACACGCACATGTTGAAAGCTAGAAAACAAGAGAAAAACACAGAATAAGCTACATAACAAGTCTGTGTAAATGGTTGGCAGAACAGGCATAAGCAGCACTAAATTGCTGTTGCACCCAGGTCCACCCTGACCAGGGGTGGTAGCAACTGTTAGGGTCCCAGTTATGGGCAAATGGTGAACCCCTAAACTTGGTTCAAAACATTACGATATTATAAAAATATATTTATGTAATAAGAATACCAGCAATATATTTTATAGTAAAAAAATACCAGCAATACATTACTGGAAAAGGAAAATAAAAATTACCAGCAATATGTTTTTTTTTTTAAATACCAAAGTTCCCCCGCACCAAAATTAAATTTCAGCATAAAATGATATATAAGGTGTTGATATGCTGTTAAACGAACCAAACCAAACCAAACCAAGCCAAACCGATATGACACAGAAATACGTAGTTGTATTGAAATTGCAAAATATTTAATCGAAAACCTAATCAAGGGTATATATGCAGGAAAGATGCTTTCGAAAATTTAACAACCACAGAAAATCTTGAAAGCAAGAAAACAAGAGAAGAACGGAGAATAAGCTCCATAACGAGTTCCTGTAAATGGTTGACAGAACACGGATTAAGAGATATTGCAAAAAGACGAACACTACTAAGAGCTGAAAAGGATAGGAAGATATGGAGAGCCACCGTCTAGTGAATTAAAGAGGTCCTAAGGAAGCAGGTATAAAAAGTTAAGTATCGATGATACCGAAATCCGAATGTATTAGAATTAGCTAAAGTTCTCATCCAAAATTTAAAAAGTTCCAAAGAGAAAAATCTATATTTTTAAAAAATTAGTCGTACATCAATGAGAATGGTCTTTTAATTTAAGCCAGGTTATTCTGAAATGGATCTTCTCAACCGGATTTGTTCAACTTCAAATGTAAGGGTTCCCCAAAGGGAACTATAGATTCTACCAGGATTTACTATCGCTAACAATATTCACCCTTGTGCAAATTAATTGAGACAAAACGTATAATTCCGTTTTTATTTCCTTTTTTTCGTATTTTTTTCCAATGAAACATGATTCAGTATACATGTTAGTATTTCGTATTTCTATTCTCTGAAGTCGTTCCTTGCAGATTGACTACAGTTTCTCGATTGGATTTAAATCAGGAAAGTTTTCAGGTCGGTCTACATTACCTTGATATGCTCACTGGTAAGACTTGCATGTATGTTCGTACAGAGTTACCATTTTCGTACGCTTCATTGGAGTGACGTCCATTGCAGACAATGGCCACAGAACAACTAATCGGCAGTCGAGACAATAGTGTCTGGGCGTGATAAAAAGCTGATGCAATCACGGATGACGCAATATTATTCAAGGCTAAACAAATTCTATCATACACCTCGAAAATAGATTCATATTACTTCACACCACTGCACATGACCTAATCTAAGGAAAATTAGAAATCGATTTAAAACTGACAGTATTCGTGAAAGAAAGGAAACTAAAGCGGTTGTTTCCATTAACTTGCACAAGGATTTATATACACAGGATTAAATGGCTGTGCCATTTGCATAAATAGGTAGTTGTGAAATGATGAAATCGGACAGATCATTGATGAAGATCAGAAACACCATAAGTTCAAGGATAACAGATTATATGACACATCGTCCTGGGTATGACGATAAACTACATCTGGCAGCAAGCCGTCTGATCGGGAGGTTTTCAGGAGCGTGGAAACGCATCTTAATTGCCACAATGACTCGGGGTGGTAGCAACTGTTTGGGTCTAAGCTATGGGCAAATAGTGAACCCCTAAACTAAGGTCAAAACATTACGATAGTATAAAAATACATTTTTGTAGTAAGAACACCAGCAATACATTAGAAAAAAATACCAGCAATGTATTTTTGAAAACAAAAACAAAAAAAAAAAAAACACAATCCCCCCACCACCAAAAAATAAATAAATAAATAAATTTCGATATTAAATGACGCATTAGGAGTTGACATGCAGTTAATCAAATCAAACCAAACCAATTTCCGTACTGGGTACGATATCAACTACATCAAAGAGCAAGGCCTCTGGTCAGAAGGTTTTGAAGAGCGTGGAACGACCTTTTATTTGCTGGTGTTCCCAGGTCCACCTTGACCCGGGGTGGTAGTACCTTTTAGAGTCGCAGCTATGGGCAAATAGTTGCCCCCCGCCCAAAAAATTGCAACAAATTTAATCCAGTTTGAAGCACCAAGTACCAGAAATCAATGTGTTAAACATTCAGCAAAATATCACTGTTAAATATCCATCACATTAATTCACATTACTGTAGGATGTCTCCTTCCAATGGCTTTATTGAACCTCAATATTCAGGCTATGCTAAGGGAGGTGGAGATCCTATCAGGATTTAAATATCCGTGGGTGTCATATTAAAAATATTGTAATGGTGGTAATGCTAATATAAGCCGTTTCTTTACAAAGAAACATTCGGTATTCATTGACCGAGCATTTAGACTTTATGTCAGTTAAAACTTATAGAATCTTTCTCTTCAAACGTATTTTCAGGAAAACATGTTTCAAAAGGCCAGTAGCTTTTATCGATCTTTACAATACTGATGGTAGTTTCCTTACTAAGCTTTTCTTTGATGTGGTGTGGAATGCCAACATCTTAAGTCATTATTTACTCTTCCAGTTACATGTGTGTTGTAGTATACCTACGGATAATAATGGGTATGTCCCCATTCACATAGAGTAGTAAATACTGTATGTTGTTCTGCAGTCGGAGATTCGTCTCCAACTGTGCTGGTCAAACTCTTTTTGCCTCGGGGCAGAGAGGATCCCCAAACGAGGCGATGTTGAAGGACAGAGTCTCGCCTCGGGAAACAACTACACGACCCCGTTTTATATGGGGTCTAAGGGGAATTTTTGGACCAGCCAAGGAGCTCTGATACCCCGCAACAAATTCGGCCTTGTGCCACATCTGACCGCGTGGGTGGTTGGTAGATATCCTGCAGTAGGAGATTCGTCTCCAGCTGTGCTTGTCAAACTCTCTGATTCCGGGCAGAGAGGATCCCCAGACGAGGCGATGCCAAAGGGTAGAGTCTCGTCTCGGGAAACAAATACCCGACCCCGTGTTATACGGGTTCTACGGAAATTCCAGAAAAAAAAAAACAAAAAAGCAAATTCCACGCCACGGTTAACTGCTGGAATATCTGACTTTTCTTTTAACATTTTTATTTTAGTTTTATATTTATTATTGTTCCATTTTTCAATAACTCACTCATGTTAAAAGTCATTGCTCTACAACTAACGAATGCGATATAATGAACCGCAAAAGAGCGAACTAAAATACGTATGACAACACCATTATCATAATGTGGCGATTGACTGTATGGCTACTACACCTAGGAATATGTAAAGGTCATTATGATGGACATATATTTCTGCAAAATCAATATAAAATTAAAAGAAATGATGCAATTTTTTTTATTAGGTTGGTGCGAAAATAATGACGTAATAATGTCGTTTTTGACTTTAAAAATAAGTTAAAAAACAACATTATTACGTCATTATTTTTTCACCAACCTAATATATATTTTCTGGTATAAAGGAATGACACTACAAATGTTCAAATAATATTTTATCGAATCGATTATTCTATAATTATATGGCACCGGTCTCTGATAAGACTTGTTAAGTCAATGTAGTCTGACCTTAGAATAAATAGGGGATCATGTTTAATACCGATGGTCTCAAAATGACACTGAAATTTGAGGTGAGTACAGCGTTTCGCACCTGTCAAACTGAAATAGAAAACTCGTTGGTCCTTCGCACATTGAAAAAGACACTGCCGGTACGTCACATCAGATAGTTTGTGAAGCACTGTTTTAAAAGACAATATGGCACAGAAATCCGAGGGTGCAATGGAAGAGCGAAATATCCCATCCGAAATCTAAGTCAAAGATAAAATGAATATTTTTAAGCATTTAGAAAGATATCACTAAAAACAGTCTTTTCATTTAAGAGTGTTTACAATATGATATCTCTTCTCACAGAATTTATTCAACTTTAAAATTAAGGCTATCCCAAGGGAGCGGATGGCCATAACAGGATTTAATATCGGTGGTTGTAAAATAATGTAAGAAAATGAAAAACATTACTAAGGAGAGTGTTGTATCCTTAAAGAGCTTACAAACAGACAAAGCTGGTACTTGAATGAAGGAACAGCAATATGCGCATAGATTAAAGAAAAGGGTTTATTTATTTTTTTTTTATAAAGAATACACTACTGAAATACAAGGAATCTGGTAGTAGGCTAGTAATTCCTGACACAAGGATATCTAGCAACCACGCCGAATTTAATGTGGGATATCCGAGCCTGAAAGCTCGGCCAAAAATTACTCGTATAAAACGCGGTCAGGTAGCTGTTTCCCGAGACGTAACTTTACCATTCGACATAGCTTCGTCTGGGGATCTTCTCTGTCCCGAGGCAGAGAGTTTGAACAGCACATCTAGAGACGAATCTCTAACTCTAGACTAATTCCCGAAGCAAGGATATTTACCTTACTAGCGCCCCGTGTGGCAGGATGTGGCACAAGGCCGTTTTTAAATGCGGGGTCAAACTTCGGCATAGTCTCGTCTGCGTTCCTCGCCGCCCGAAGACAGAGAGTTCGACCAGCACAGCTGGAGACGAATCGCCAACTAATGTGGTACAAGGCCGTTTTTAATGCGGGGTAAAAAACCGAGCATTGTGTCTCGGAAAAAATTCCCCGTAGACCCCGTATACACGGGGTCGGGTAGCTGTCTAGCATAGCCTCGTCTGGGTTCCTCTCTGCCAGAAGGCAGAGAGTTTGAACAACTTAGCTGGAGACGAATCTCCAAATAATTGCCGAAGCAAGGATATTTGCCAACCGTCCCACGCGGTCAGATGTGGCGAATTAAACGTGTGGTATCCGAGCCCGTAGGCTCGGGCAAAAATTCCCCGTAGAGCCCGTAAAAAACTGAGTCGGGTAGATGTCTACAACTTCAGACGAGACTCTACCCTTCGGCATAGCCTCGTCTGGGTTCTTCTCCGCCCGAAAACAGACAGTTCGACTAGCTTAGATGGAGACAAATCTTCAACTAATTGCCGAAGCAAAGTACCCTGTGCTCACCATATATAGCTACTGATATAGTCAGTCCACGGGGAGTGCGAGAAAATAAACTGTTGGAGTAGAAGTGGCGGTTGCATTTAGCTATTTCAATAGTAAAAAAAAGTGGTACCTAGATGCCAATCTAGTAGCACGCTTAAATTTATTTAGTCGGGGGCACCAGGGAAAACATATATTTCAAACCAAACCCTTTCTTTCTTTCTTTCTTTCTTTCTTTCTTTCTTTCTTTCTTCTCCTCTTTCTCGTACACATTCTTTCTTTCTTTCTTTCTTTCTTTCTTTCTTTCTTTCTTTCTTTCTTTCCCTCCCTCTTTCTCATACACATTCTTTCTTTCTTTCTTTCTTTCTTTCTTTCTCATACACATTCTTTCTTTCTTTCTTTCTTTTCTTTCTTTCTTTCTTTCTTTCTTTCCCTCCCTCTTTCTTATACACATTCTTTCTTTCTTTCTTTCTTTCTTTCTTTCTTTCTTTCTTTCTTTCCTTCTTTCTTTCCCCCCTCTTTCTCATACACATTCTTTCTTTCTTTCTTTCTTTCTTTCTTTCTTTCTTTCTTTCTTTCTTTCTTTCTTATACACATTCTTTCTTTCTTTCTTTCTTTCTTTCTTTCTTGAAGTTAAGTTTTTGAAGATTGTAGTTATCAGGGACGCAAGGAAAAAGAAGGGGGTTGCACAGGAGGGAAATGTGAAAAATCAGACTGTTGGAATAGAAGTGGCAGTTGCATTTAACTATTTCAACATTAAAATGGTGGAACCTAGATGCTAATCTAGGGAAACGCTTAAATTTATGTAGTCGGAACACCAGGGGAAAGAAGCTCTCAGAGCAATTGCCATGAAAATATTTGTAGAAAAGACAGAGGGAAGCCACGTCACGTCGGTGAGAACGTGTCTGAAGGCGAGATGTCAGGTGAGGATCGATAACATTACAGATGCTTCTTTGGATTTTGTCAAGAACCTCGAGATGAATAGTAGGAACACTAGACTAGATATGGCAACATTATTCAATGCACAGACGAATGGGAGATTTGTAAATAAGCAAGATGGACACTGACGAGAAAAAACATTCTGGCACGACGCACTGACCCAAATTTCTTTGCAGTAGATGCAGCTATTGATTCGATGTAGCCGTTCTACTTGAAGTCAGTCGAAAACGTGAGACCAAGAAGACGCAGTAAGACGCTCTCTATGAGTTTAGCATGAGACATACTGATGGCGGTCAGGAAAGTTTCTCTTTGGTGGTTAAATGAAAGCAGTCTTCTTTTGGAGGCATTAAAATTAGTAAAGCATTTTCTGACCCATTTAACCACCGATTGTAGGTTCAATAGCAACGCCCAGGTTACCTTTATCAGCTCTGGCGTATTTGCCATTGAGTCAGGAGTAAATGGCTATTATTATTATTATTATTATTATTATTATTATTATTATTATTATTCCCATCATCGAGTATATGATAAAACTCTCCACAAAGAAATAGTTAAGTTATTTTTGAAGCAGCATGAAAATTTTAGGCAATATTTTCAAGATACAGATGGTGATCCCAAAATGTTGGCATATATATATATATATATATATATATATATATATATATATACCTAGTGAGCCAGACAAACCTACCTAGGTTTCACCTAAACGGATCGTCAGGAAAGTTTGGCTGACGATCCGTTTAGTGACGATCCCTGACGATCCGTTTAGGTGAAATCTAGGTAGGTTTGTCTGGCTCACTAGGTGTATCTAGGTCTTCTCTACGGTTGTATTGAGCTCTTTTGTTAGTTAGTTGTTACTCGTATCAGGGTTTTTTTTTCTTTGGGCTTCAGACCTGCATCTGTGCGATTTTTTTTGTCGGCAGAAGTTCATGTTTGTAGCTCTTTCTTTTGTTAAAAACCTTTTTTTTGCCTCGAGATTGATTTGATTAGCAAATCAAAAATTCGAGGGTTTTTTCGAAACGAGTCTAGTTTTCTATATTTATATATATATATATATATATATATATATATATATATATATATATATATATATATATATATATATATATATATATATATATATATATATGAACGATATGTGATGGCAAATATATGGAAGTACAAAATGACATTCCTTTGCAAGTAGAAAATTAGCAAATTGCGAAAATGGATGTTTTGTATGTCCATATTTACTTTTAATGTAAAGACAAATTTTAAATCCATACGCAATAATCTTATAGAAAGACGCTTAGATATGTTAAGTTTATATATATATATATATATATATATATATATATATATATATATATATATATATATATATCAGATGGATGCTTTTAGCGTCTTCATTAAACAGCTGAAAAGAAAGACACAGATCGAAGTTGAAATATATTTTCAAATAAAATCACACATTGAGGGATTTGGGTTTATGCAGAGATTATAATTTACAGAGGTTCCCTCTAACAACATTCCCCCGAAGAGTGAGTCCCATCTCTTTCTTTATTCCTCCTCTCGTTGAAAAAGGACACAGGCGTGTCCGAAAATTCTCACTTTAAATTGTTTCTCTTCGTGCTTCAATTTAGACAAATGCCTAATTTATAATAAATATAATCAATCTTAATTGTCAATATCGTTATCATTTTGTTGGCTTTTTATTACTTTTTATTAAACAGTCTATTAAATACACACACACATACACACACACGCACGCACACACAAACACACCCATATATATATATTGTTAAATATAACAGACAACGAATGTCTAATATGTTTGATCATGAGCCGTTCTATGCTTTGTATAGTGAGTTTAGTTTTGGGAGAAAATAAAGACAAAAACTGTCCAACATTTGCATATTTTTGATTATATTCCCGATTCTCGATCTAAGCTTTCGACTCACATGAGCCTTCATCAAAGTGGTTATATGAGCTTTACAACAGAGATGTTCAGCATCAATGATGACATCCTGTTATGTTACATAATAAAAGTTTGTTATGCATTGATAATGGTCGCGGAATAGCAGACGCAGTCGTAAGAGAAGAAATCTTATTGTCAGAATCATATGATTAGATGCATTGTAATATGCTGTGACTGGTTTGAAATGTCATTTTTTGAGTGTAGGTTGCTTTGTTTTAATGTAGATGGACTTCAATATCTAAAGGTTCTTTTTACTGTGTGTATGTGTGAGTATTATTGTGTTATCAACTAATATATGTCTAATACTATGTACATGGCTCTGTTTTTCTAAGAAATGTTGTTTAGTATCTGTCTATATTTCTGACATGAGGTATTATATACTCTATTTAGATTATTCATCTTTGTTGCCATATTTATCACAACGTTTCAGTTGTATCACAACGTTTCAGTTGTACGTTCCGGCCTTCTTCAGGTTGTTGGAATGTTGAACTGAACCCTTTATTTCGCTCGTTGGGGTAGACTGTTTTAGTTCCACGTACCATGTCTAATGGATGTCAGTTATCTGTTATCTCCTGATAATTCCCCTCTGTTGTTTAATGGAACTAAGATTAGAATGGTGACAGGTAAGACTACGAGAGAGCGTGGTTGTACCAAAACTAATATATTTCATGGGTTTATTATTAATGTCAGAGATATAATCTCTGAACGGACATGTAAATTGATACACTGCATTGTTTTTTGTAGAGGATTTAGTTCTGTGATTGTAGAGTTATTAGAAACTATGAAATCAATTGTTTTAAATTTTGAAACATATAATAAGCTTAACTTGTTTATTATTAACGTTATTAACTATTATTGTTTAACATTATTAACTATTAATTTTGGGGTGTTATTTCATCGTGTTTTTAATTATTATAAATTTCGTTATAATTGAATAATTTAATAGTATTCTGTTTATTTTGACGTTCACTATTATGGTTAAAATTATTATTAATATTATCGATTTTGTTAGTGGTATTATTAAGTTTATTGAGATACATTTTAATTTGTTGATCAATGAATTAGGCGGAATTAGGGAATTCATTATTAACGAATGTTTGTTTAATGTTATGTAATTCTTTATAGAATATTTTTTTCGAAGAAGATATCATTTGTGTGCGTTAGATTAAGTTTTTTTTTTATAACAGCTAACTTATAACTTTGGAAACATTCACTATTATAATTAAGAAGACACGAGTTAATTCTTGTGGGTTTCCTATATAGACAAGTAGTAAATTTATGTGTGCTGGAATCAATAAGGATATCAAGGAATTTTATAATTGATAATGAGTTCTAGTGTAAATTTGAGGACGAAGTGTCTTCGAAATTTGTTTTTAAGCTGTGTAAATTGATTAATACTTTTAGCTAAAATGAATGCTATCTATGTACCTCATGTCTACGCGGTTTATTAGTGTCATTAAATATTTTATTTTCTAAATGTGCCACATAATAATTTGAAAAAGGTCGCCTGAAGGAGATCCCATCCCAATATCTTCTATTTGAGTATAAATATTACCTAGGGGGTCACGAAAAGGTATTTGAGTGGTACATGCTAATAATATTTTTTAAACAGTCGTTTTAATTTTGATGGGTGCGAGAGAAGTGTGATTGTATACATCACAGATAATGATGTCAATCGTTTTAGCCAAAGATGCGATTATTTGTTCGTTTGGTTTTACAGCATGAAGAATTTGTATAAATTCATTTGTAGAGATAATACAATATTTTCCTAGGAGGTAATTAATTTGTTCATGGTTTTTGAAAGGTAATATACTGGTGTAGGTGTTTGTGAAATGATAGGTCGAAGTGGGTGATCTTACTTATTTTTATTTTTACATATAATGTTTTTTTACATTTCCATAAATGTAGCCAGTTTTATAGTCACCTATAATCATTTGAAGTTTATAAGATCCTATTTCAGCATTGTTAGCAGTAATAAGTTTATTGATATAGTTTTTAAGTTGGGAGGTGGTGTTATTGGTTAACTTTTAAAATGTATTATGATCGTCCAAATTGGCCTGAAATTTTGAGTGGTACTCATGTTATATATATAGGGGGGGGGAATAAATTTCATTCACGTGTGAAATAAAATAATGGTTTCAAGTGCTACCTACTGCAAAATTGTATGAACTTTTGTTTTATCCCAAGAGATTTAAAGACATATGATTAAATATTTTATATCTACATATCAAATGTTAATGTAAATATTACTTTTACTAGGTAAATAACATACAAACTAAAATGCAACCATTACTGCATGATTATAAATTGTTTGAATTAGGATGCAATTACAGCTGCGATTTAAAAGAAAGAAGATAAATTGATTTTAATTCTTCAGAGAATTCTCTATTAAATCCTTTTTAACATCAAATAGAATTTTATGCGATTTCATTTTTTTATTTATTGAAATATTTAAACAATATTTTTTAAATAATTTAGTTAACGTTTAAGTACAGAAGTTTATTCTTTTTAAATTGCCGTAATTTGATGAATCTGTAAATTTTTTTCAGCATTTCAATTCAAAATTGAGAATATAAGCAGAAAAAAACATTCCAGAATAAAAGTTCAGTCTTTCAAAAGCGTTATAGATCCACATATAAATTTAGGATACTCTTCTCTTCACTTGTCTAATGTAGAAATTCTTTTGATTTATCATAATTAAATTGTTCATAATTAAATTGGTCAAAAAGTAGAACTTGAATTAAACACAAATATTTCCGTTTTTATAAACTGGAAAAAATATTTTCACATAAGAATATTTGTCAATTCTCTAAATATTCTGTTGAGTCAATGAAAAAATTGTCTGATTTTATGTGATAAGATGAAAATGTTTGGTTACGTGTTACGATCTCGTAAAAGGTCTTGAGATTTGCTAATGATCAGTATTTTCAGATTGTTTTTTTTTTTTAATAAATGGGCACGTAAAAAATTGCGACAATGGGTAAAAAGTGACAAGAATTGAACGATGACTTTTGTTTCGTGTTCTTGTGGATAAACTTATTCTGTCTCGATTATCGGGTGCATATCAAGATTAGCATTCATGTAAATTTGATTAAGGGAATTTGATTAACTATTGGACTTGGCTTTTGTTGTCCTGAATAAAATATGGTTGAATTATTATTTTTTTTTTTTTTTGACTTAAGCAAAAGTCAGAACTGCAACTTTTGTTGAACATTTGGTGAATTTTGTGTCTTTGAATTTCCTTTTTGTTCCTATCTTTTTTTTTTTTTTTTTTTTTTTTGACGGTATTATTCTTTTTACATCGCTACTTTCCTCCTTTTATTTCCCTCCATTGTCAGATTTTCTGCATTTTCTTTCTATCTTTCTTTTCTTTCTTTCTTTCTTTCTTTCTTTCATTCTTTCTTTCTTTATTTCTTTCTTTATTTCTTTCTTTCTTTCAGAATGTTCATTTTGTTTTGTTTTTCGGTATTTAAAACCGTCTATCTTTCTTTTTTCTTCCTTTAATTGTTCACTATTTAAGCGTTCACCTTTGTTTCTTTCTTTCAAACATTGAAACATTCATTTTTATCTATCTATCTATCTATCTATCTATCTATCTATCTATCTATCTATCTATCTATCTGTCTATCGATCTATCTATCACAACCTGTTGATTATATATATATATATATATATATATATATATATATATATATATATATATATATATATATACGTTTTACCATATGTGACTGGAAGAGAATTCTGAGAAGAATATAAATGTAGGCTACAATGATAATAACACGGAGACTTTATCGATTTCGTTTATAATTTCTATTTTGTGAACACCAATCTCATCAGAACGAAAACGTTCGCAAACGGAGAAAGTATATATATATATATATATATATATATATATATATATATATAGATAGATAGATAGATAGATAGAATATGCAGAGGAAGGAAATTCAATAAAAAAAAAACAAACAACAAAAATAGCATTTTTGATAGTAGGACAAATAATGTTTATTACACAGGTTGTGTCCTTAAAGTTTGGACTCATAGGAAATCTCATTAAATATGCTATTTTTACCTCCACAGGTTAAACATGGCTTTGTGGAAAGAAGTAAAAATTGACATCTTTTTCTCTGATATTCTAAAGGAGAATGTCTACTCAATGAATATCCCAAATGTAACACACTTGATTGAACGTATAAAGAGTGAATGTGCTATAATTGACGGCAATGTGCAGTTATTGAAACGAGTTTATGTGAATCTTGGAAATGATGGAAATCATATTGAAGATGTTATTTTTTTAATATTCCATTTAAATAAATTATATATATATATATATATATATATATATATATATATATATATATATATGCACATTTCAATGCGATCTAATAATTTTTTTTTCTTTGCAGATGATAAATTATATAAAAAAACTAAATGCCAAAATGGCTAAAAATAATGAAAGCCTTAGAGATAAAAGCAAAAAAAAAAGAACTTAATATTATTAACCATGAACATGTACCGTATTTTGAAAAATGAAACATTTATATAAATACATACATGCAACAAACTATATCTTATTTAACATTGAAAATATTTAATCCTTGAAAATGGCTAAATGTATATCCGAAAGCGCTCGGATAAAAAGATTATTCGGACAGTTTTTATATAATTTATCATCTGAAAAGAAAAAAAAAATAGATTGCATGAGAAATTGCATAAAAATCTATCATATAAAATGAAATGTGCATGAAAGAAGGATTGCTGTCAAAATAAATCAATATCATATATATATATATATATATATATATATATATATATATGTGTGTGTGTGTGTGTGAAGAAATATAGTTTTAAGATGTGCTATATTTATGGGATAACGGGTTCAATATCAGAGATAGAGCGTATGTAAATATAAATATAAAAGTGAACATTGAAGTCAACACTCAGTTTCATGTTTCCAACGCAAATTCAAGTTATATTTATGTTATATAGGAATAAAGTTTCGCTGCCGACACTTGAGTTTGAACATAGATCTCCTGTCTGCAAACACACATGATCCCATTATTGAATTGAAGAGACTACGTGACCATAGAGGAAACGCATATAGCGTGTTTCTAATTGATCTGTATTTTGTTTATTCTCTATACTATAGCATGTCGCCTCTAAGTGTTGTCTTCAATGTTCATATATATATATATATATATATATATATATATATATATATATATATATATTATTTTTATAAAAATTATAACATAAGTATGTTATAAAAATCACTACAAAAATAGCCATTTTGTTTCAACACACTCTGTGTCTTATCAAGTGATGATGTTAAAAGAAAATAAATGGTTTTAAAAGTTTCAGCTTAATTAACGATCCTACACTAGGGGGAAACATTGTTACAAAAGCTAGAATAACCAATCAAAAACCAAGTATACAAAGATTCAAAAGCTTGACAACGAAATCATGTTATAATAGCTATTCAGATCTTTAAATACGTGTAATATCAAAAATAATTTATACTAACTAATAATTGTAAATTTACATGATAAAATTTAATATTAAAATTAAAAACTGGCAATTTTTAAAAACCAAATTTAATCACTATTAAGTTTAAAAACTACAAAATTATTGAGAAAAGAAAAAATATATATGTTTATTCAATTCATTTCTTCATTGAAATTACTTTCGACAAGACAATACGCTACAATACATGGTTATTGGAATTCATTCCGTGTATACCAATTATATACTTTGATATATATATATATATATATATATATATATATATATATATATATATATACACTACTGTTCAAAATTCTAAAATTATCAGGGTTATCTCAAATTTTTGAACTTCAGTGTATATAAAAGATTAAATTATTTGATGGTCAATTATCAACACTTAAGTTTGAATTGTACATGAAACAACGAGGAAAAAAGTACTTTTACTATCTATGTAATAATTTTTTATTTTGTTTTCTTTTTGGTTTTTGTCTGTAACAGTTGAGGGGAAGTGTGCAAAATAACAATGACCCACCAACGCAAATTCTAGTTATATTTATGTTATATAGGAATAAAGTTTCGCTGCCGACACTTGAGTTTGAACATAGATCACCTGTCTGCAAACACAAGCGATCCCATTATTGAATGAAAGAGACTATGTGACCATAAAGGAAACGCATATAAAGGAGGTAGCGTGTTTCTAATTGATCTGCATTTTTGTTTATTCTCTATACTTTACGGATCACTATTTCTATTCTGTCCTCTATTAATATACAGATCGCTATTCTCTACTCTGTTCACTACTATTTCTCTATTCAGATCAGTATACGGGTTACTTGTCGAGCGAGATTTATTGTGTAATTACTATTAATGTGAGTGATATTCGAAGGCATCTGACACCAGTATTGATCAACGGCGTTAACAAAGTCTCTACTACAACGAGTATGACGAAAGTGACAACGAGTATTCGTTGACATTACGAAAATGTCAAACGATACTTCGTTGACATCACAAAAATTATTTTTGAAAAGAAAAAAAAACTTCAGTTAAAAAAAAATATGAGAAATAGAATTACAGGCAACATTAATCGTGTTGTATATTTGTTTTACGAATTTAACTTTATCTAATTTAATTAATTTTCGAAAACTAAGCCTCATTATAGTTTTTGTTTTAATAAAACTTAATTTAAATTATTTGATTTTTCATGTTATTATCAAATAAAAAAAACAATTAAGCTTATTTTTTTAAAGATTGAATAAATATTTATTTTCCATAACATAAATAAATTACTTTTTCCGTATCATAGTTTAGGGGTGGGGCGGAGATCTTTCCGCCGGGCCGGACTAGACTAATTCAAGATATTTTGTTTGAAATTTGGTTTTGTAAAGTTAAAAATGAAGAATCGATATTAAGTTTCTAGAATCTGCAATAATAAATGAATAATAAAAAGTTAAAATAATTACACACACACACACACACACACACATACACACACACACACACACACACATACACACACACACAAATCCGGAAATAAATTGTAGAGAATAGAAAATTAAAAGAAAACTACATATAGCCTTTCGAAATTATCAGCAGAATTAAAAAGTAAAAACGAGCGGGAATAATTATTATTCGCGTTCGTTCTGACTTTTTAATTCTGAGAATTTCGAAATGCTTACACGGTTAAAAATGGATTTTAATGCAATTATTACGTATTTTTAATTTTAAAAGATCTTCTCAAATACAAATCATACGATGATAATTCTTTTGCAAAAAGGTGTGTTTGATAACTGAGTCTGTCTCTCTCTCTATATATATATATTTAGTTTTGTCGTTAATTAGTGTATGTGACGATTCGGAGTATATCTTGTGGAATTTGGTAATAAATTGAGAAAAAATATCTGATTATACATTGCTCTTAGTAGGACAAGAAATAAGAAGACTCTTAAATTACAGATTAAATCTACGAACTGCCCAGGATTAATCAGACCTTCCAAAGTTTACACAATAAATATTTAACTTTGGGGACTTTTGCAGTAAACATAATTTCGATTGTAAATTTGTAACATTTATAAAGACAATATATGGATATCTTTCCTTGGGTGTTTATAAATTGTACACCGTTCAGTTAACGTTAACAGCGAACTATTTTAAATTACAAAATTTTACTTTGATTAAACGAAAATTACTTACAATATAATACAAAAAATCATCATTGATACAATGACATGTTCTAAAGATTTGATCTATGTATTTTAACATTATTATAATTTATAATTTTCTAGTTGAATTTTGTAAAAAGTTAACGGAATATTTTTAGAAGTAAATTGTTATTTTCTTTCTCGATGTGAAATATTTAATCTGTGACCAAAATTAATTTTATTATTTAAGATTCAAGGGAGACAATTATTATTTCCCTTCTTTGTCTTCCTTTTTCTGGAATATTCTTGTTTGAGAAGCACAATAAAATCGTTTCAAAATCTTTGCCATTTTAATGTCAATAAACCAAACGTTATGTATTCTATCCTAATCACGGAAAATTGGCGGCAAAGAAGAAAAATGAATTACTTTTTTTTCTTTTTCCTTTTTATTCATTATAGAAGGAAACCGACGTGGAAAGATTTGGTATTTTCGTGACAAACAAGGCAAAAGGAAAGGTAATCTTTAAACTTTTTTTTTTCTGTCACGATTTACAGCGCGTCTGATTAAAGAAAAAAAAGGTACATTTTAGCTAATATTGCATAAGTTTGTTTTCAGACTTATTTTATTTAATATATGCATGAAATTTATGATTTGGGAAAATAAAGGAATTCGAGTCATTTTGATGAAAAATAAATTGAGTAAAATTTTAAAAAAATATAAAGTTGCCAAATAAATGCATTATGTTCACTTTCTACGATGTCTTTTTACCTTTGAATTTATATTTTTTCTTCATTTGTCTTATCAACTTGATCGAAAAAAGACGAATAATAAGTAAACTAAAAGAAGTATTAATAATAATAATAATAATAATAATAATAATAATAATAATAATAAACTATCAGAATGTAAGGATCTTGAAATGGAAATTTAAAAAATGTGGCACATGAGGTCATTAATAATTCCAGTTGTAGTTGGAGCACTCGGATTGATTGGAAAACGTTCCAAT